ACAGTTATGATGAGGGTGCTCGCAGACGACTCAGGCTGGTTGAATATAAGTCTCAGTTTGTGTCTAACCCAACCAATCCACATGAACGCCTAATCGACGAAACCCTAAAAGACAAAATCATGGACAACGACCTATACCGACAAGAATTCATGCGTATGCTGATTGAGAGCCACGTGGAAGTCAAGTCCAAGGGCAAAGTCCCGACCCCTCAGTCGGTTACCGACTTCACCAATGAGTACATCGATTCGAACAACGTGGTCGGCGGTTTCTTATCTGAATTCTGTGACATCACTAACGATAAAAATGACATCATCAAGGCGGGCGATCTGTACCAGGCATACAAGGCTAGTCATTTCTGTAACGGCAAGAATCAACAGCAGTTTAAGGAGGCCATGAATGTAAATGGACACGTGGCAGAGAAAATCACCAAGCGGGGACCTTATCATAAGAATGTGGTATATTATGGGATCGTGTTGAGGGAGGAGTCTGTCAATTTTAACGACGATGACGATGACGAGGTAGACCCCCTCGATTAAGCATTATTCATTTTTTCTTTTAGACTGGACTCAGTCTGAAATCAATCACGATAACTTCTAACCAATTTGGGGAGACCCCGGGGAGGCACATTTCAAGTGGACAGGGAGGATGGGGAGCATGGGGAGGGCAATTTTCCAAATTTATATAATCATTCACCCCCTTCCAAAATATTTTTTATAAATATGCCCTCCCCATGCTCCCCATCCTCCCCCAATACGGTATCTTTCCTCCCCATTCTCAAAAATAAATAAATAATAAGAATAAATAAATAAAACATAGACTGTAACGAGTATTACTAAATTTTAAAAACAAAATCAAAGATTTTCAGTGTTGGGGAGCATAGATTTGCGAATTGAGGACCCTCAAAATGTTGAAAAGTGCCCTCCCCACGAAAAATGGCCTCCCCATCCTCCCTTTTACAGATTTGATTAATACTTAAGGACAAAACCATAGTTAATCATAAGAAATCATGGCGGAGAACGTATATTCGCGCAGTAAATTGTACCGGATCGACCTACCGACCGGTGAAACCTACGTGGGGAGTACAATTCAGGCTGCTCTAAACCTCGCAAGATGCGAACATGTCAGAAATTCGAAAGTCCCGAGCAAGCAGAATACCCCGTTATACAAGGCCATCCGCGATTTACCCGGAGGTTGGACGAATATTCGACCCATTCTGATTGAGTGTTTTCCCTGCCGTACCAGAGATGAACTTAAAGCCCGAGTGAAATATTGGATCGAAACCTTGGGCGCAGTTCTAAATGAACAAGTTATCGGCAGATCTGATCAGCAGTATCGACAGGATAACAGGGAAAAAATTCGAGCGTTTAATTCTGAGAAAATCCAGTGCCAACACTGTGATAAAAGAGTTAATCGAAATGGCATAGCTAGGCATGTTCGGAGGATGCACTCTGAGACCTGATTGACGCCAACGACTACGGACTTAGCAAACTGCCTGCTACGGACGCCCGATTTCCGACTAATTGTCCGATCGCTACACCTCGATCAAACCCTTTGTTGAATTTTGCCGCGACGTACTCACCTGCGGGTCCAAAGTGCGACCCGACCGCGGACGCGAGACCGTGCACAAGTGGCGCCGACCCATGCAGGGTTTTAGCGACATTGCTTGACACGTCACCGATGCGACGGATGATTTTGCCTGCTGAGTGGATACCTTTGAGGACTGATGAGCCAATTCTTCCGAATAATCCCATGTTTTTATAAAGTATCTAAAGAATTTAAATCAGCGACTGATCTGATTAAGGAGAGCTTGGTGTAGTCAAGTATCTCACTCAGGACTCCCAAGGTTCGATTCTGCCCATCTTGGACATTCTTTTTGTATATTCGCACCAAAAAGGTGACGGTATAAGGGTTCAAATAGGTCAGGTCATTGCCGTAAATGTCTTTGATCGTGATCTGTAGCCTGGAAATGTTCTTCTCATTCAGAAACATCTCAAATTGGTTGCCAGGGTTCTGCCAGTGCAGGACGGTGAATGGAGCTGTGTCGAAGGGAATCACAGCAAGCACATCTGAGGGCTTGCATTTCAGGTCTGTAGCAGAGCTAAAGTTATCCACGTTCCAGCAAGCTGTGGTGGAGACTCCTGCTGCATGCAAGACGAGCTGATTGACCCCTCCTTTTAGGTCTAACTGATTTGTGCTGACAATGGTAGTGCCAGAGGGTATATCTGTGCTGTTGAACCCAAAGGTTTGGTAGCTGTTGTCTGTGAATGAGAGCACATGGGGGCTTGCAAAGGTAAAGACAGCACGGTTGGTATGGCTGTCATAGGTGCATGTCACTTCTGTGTAAAGACGGCTCACAGTCAAGCAGAGATCCCTGTAGCTGTAGTTTCCTGGAGGGACTGTGATGGTGGTGCTGGAGCTGTTTGAGGCAACATCTGTGAAGGTGAGCTGATTGTTCAGGCTATTAACCACGTAATATTGAATCTGCATTGTGAAATCCACAACGGTCAGACTCATCTGATGTTCGGGCATGGCTGTCAGGACGTCCGTATCAAATTCAAACACAGAATCATAGGAGTTGGTTTGTGCTGATCTCAAAAATAAGTATTGACTGTTGATAAGCACGTTTAGGTCACTCATTTAGTCTTAGGGGAGATTTTCATTCGGTCTGCAAGATTCCAAGCGTAAGTACCCAATCGGTAGGAATGTTTGCCACCTGATAGCGGCTGTAAACATTCACTGTTAGGGTTCTCTGTGAGAACAGGCTTAGGTCTTGAACAGACACTCCCTGATCCGCGTTACCAAAATAGTACGAATAGTTGCGAAGAGACAGAAGGGACTTGCAGGTGTTTTTGGTTCTTGAGTCATAAGAGAGTGGTTGAGATATCTCCTCAATCTCAATGTCATACGGGAGATTAAACGATGTTGCTGCTTCGTTGAAGTGAAAGCAAGATACAAAAATGCGACAATTGCCCTTCACGGTTTCAAAAGGAATATTCACGTTTCTGAAGACATGACGTGTCCCAGATACCTCGTCTGCAGTAGTTGAGTCTAGAACAATTTTGTACAAGCGGTCATAAGATTTGCTCTGGCTAATATTCTGAAACGGGTAGGGAGAAGGCTGATGAAGACCAGATCGGCCTGCAGCAAAATTGACATCCATTTTAAGTTGACCAGACATATTAATCTTCGGTGATCTCCTCGATCGTCACCTTTTCGAAGCCATCAGTTACATCCTCCTCAGGTGCTGCCTCCACCTCGATCGCACCCATAATCTTGAATTTGTCTGGGTCTTGCTCTGCTGCCGCCTCGGTAAGCTTTCCCTTGCCTTTCTTTGCCTGCTTCCTCGCAAACTTTTCACCCTTCTTTTTGTTCTCTCGCAACCACTCGCCATCGTCAGCGGAGTAGGTGTCAGCCAATTCTTCTATTACAAATCTGGGAATCCTTGGGTGATCCCTGCACATGGCACTAATCCATTCTTCCCTAACTTTGTCTGAGATCATTTTATATGTTCTAATATAATAAATCATGAAGACAGAACGCCTTCCGATCTCCAAGGTTGACATCAAGAACAACAAGCTTCCCTACGGTGACCGCAAGGTGCCTGAGTACATGCCTTCGCTGCACCCGCTGGTGGCACTCGTTGGCAGCCGGGGGCAAGGCAAAACGACAAGGATCTGTGAGTGGCTTCTGATGTATGACGCAGCCAAATCGTATGACAAGGTGTTCGTCATCTCTCCAACTTTTACGCGAGACCCTAAGACTGCTTGCTTGACAGAGGAGCCTCGAAACTTTACGATCGAAGTGATCCCAGGGTACACAGAGGATGGCTTTAAAGACATCATGGCGTATATGGTTCACGAAGTCGATGAATATAAAAAGTACTTAAAGGAATTGGAAGCCTGGAAACGTTTTCTGAAGTGCAAGAACATAGATTCGCTAAGCAATGATGATATTGCACTACTCTACGGTCTGGACTTTGAAGCACCGAAGACAATCTACAAATGGGGCTTTCCTTCTTTCTGTGTGGTGGTGGACGATTGTGTCGCAGACAAGAAGATGTTTAGCCCGACTATGCGCGGGGCTTTCGTCAACTTTATCTTGCTGCATCGCCATCATTCTTGCACTGTGGTCATGGCAAGTCAGGTGCTGACTAACGGTATCCCGCGAGGTGTTCGAGGAAATGTGTCCTGCTGGATACTTTTTGATACAAAAAGTGATAAGCTCAAGGAGTCAATTGCGGAGGAACTAGCGTCTAAAGCAACCCCCGAAGAGGTCTTGGAAGCCTGGACGCAAGCCTGTCAGAAGCCGCATGACTTTTTGTTTGTGGATTACGACTCGAAGGATCGAAACAGAATGTTTAGGCAGTGCTGGGATAACCAGATCCTTCTCGAAACTATTCAGGAAACACCTACTCAGGAAAAACCGATTTGATAGCAAGTTCGCGCATAGCTTTTGACACCTTATGGTTCAGTTCATCACGAGCTGCAACCTGCATCATGTCTCTACCAGTTGGTCTCACCGCTGTCAGCTTAGCCAGCTCCTTTGCAACCTCCTTTTTGACAGTCTTCTTAAACCTTCTTTTTTGCTTGCGCTGGTAGTGGTCGTCATCGCTCTCGGAGGAGGCGGACGAATCTGAATCAGACTCGTAGACCACCTTCTTCACCTTCTTGGCGGGCTTCTTTGCCTTCTTGAACTTGACCACCTCCACGATCTCCTCTTCTGGCTCTTCCTCAGGCTCTGGCTCGACTGCTTTTGGCTCAGGTTTGAAGGACTTTTCTAGCGCTTGCACCTTCTTGACTCGCTCTTCGAATGTTTTCTGCTTAAGGGCTTTTTCTTTCTCCGTAAGTTCTTTCATTGCTTGCTTTTTGAGTGCCGCTTTCTCGCGCATTAAAGCCATTTGCTTTAGCTTTTCTGGGCTGCATGGCTTCTTTTCCTTGCCTTTTGGAGCTGCGGCGGGAGCTTCTTCGACGGTTTCCGCAACCTCTTCAATGGGCTCTATAGAAGTGTCAGACATTTACACTAGATTCAGAAAAAAAAATGACTGTGTTGTCTGATCTGTCTTGCAGATATTGCGACTTCTCGCTTCTGAAGGGAGGATATATAGAATCAGATTTGGGTGTTCCAGCGCTTCTCCACGGGCGGAACGTTGACAATGAGCTTTTCACCACGCTGGGCAGCAGTCGTACCCGTTAGACAGGTAAATCCGCTCACGTTGGTCTGTGTCCAGTCGGGAAGGCTCAAGTTAGGAAGTTCCTTATACCCAATTTTATTTGCAGGAGGTATGTACTTCCTCTGGTCTAACATGGTCAGGGAATTGCCGTACAAATCAGCCTTACACGGAAGATTCCAAGCCAGCTTGTCTTCAGGCTGTGCAAGCTCGTCATAGTCTGCTTCCACGGGCATGCGAACCACTTTCGGTAAGAGACGGTTGCTCTTTGGGGCTGCATAGGGTTGCTCGTTAGGCTTCAAGGTTTCGGGAAACATGTTACCTAGGGGTGTTCGATACGCGACTGCCATTCTTTATACATTAGAGAAACAATAAAAATAAGCTAATTACCAGACCACCGACACTTGTCTGTTAGGTCCCACCTCCATAATACCTGTGCATTCTACAAACACAGTGGGCAGATTGTTAGCTCCACCGCCAGTGGTCGTCCATGTGATAGTAGACGCGCTTCCACGAGTGTCAAGACCAGAACTCAATCTAGCAGACCCTTCGTCGTTGTCGATGTTGAATTTAAAGTAATGGAAAAAACCGTTTTGCGTAAACTTGGTAAGTGAGTTCAGAGAACTATCCATTGCACCCACCATGTCCGCCGAAAGTCCCATATTATGAAGGTTTTCCATCCAGATTTGGCTGGGCGTGAGTGGAATAGAGGGAAACCTCACTCCATTCACAGCAAAGACAGAGTCAGTAACATCGGTTCCCTTTCTTGTGAAATACGCTGTGTTACGAAGAACAGTATTTGTTCCATTTAGAGTGTAACTATTAGCATCTTGGAAAGTCGCCCATATTCCATCAACGCTCTGAGAGCTGACAGTCATCCTTAGATTCTGTTGAGCAGACCCAGAGTTTCCCTGGAACGTCAAGTAATACTTGAAAGGGATCTTAACACCTCCGTTGCTCAGTCTCTGCTGAACGATCTGAGAGTAAGAACCATCGTCGATGCTGACCACCTGACAGAGAGCTTGAATGGTGTCTAGTGACCAAGCGCCCGTGACGCCTGTGTATGCAGGAATAACGCTCGTGTTTGCAAGTTTGATTTGAAGTCTCACTTGTCCAAGGATGGAGGTATCCAAATACCTGGGTTGAGCACTAGATAAGAAGCCAAGGAAATGGGAGATTGCGATCTTCTTGCCGTTAGGACTCGTCACAGCAGCGGGTACTGTGGCTGAAGTAGGAGCCGTTACATCACCACCCAACTGCATAACCTGCCTCTGAGCCGTCTTGTCAGCACCATACCAGTCGATAAGAGCAGTCGAAAGGTAGTTGGTCATCTGAGAACCAGGACCCACTTGAATACCATTAACAAGCACCGTGATCTGGTCGATCAAAGACTCGGCATGCCTTGGCGGGCACGTTCCAGCAGCAGTGTTGAGGTTGGCGTACAGCGTGAACGCATCCAGGTTCACGATGCTGTTCTCAGGTAGGGTGATGGAAATCGTATCTCCAGCATTCGCTTGAACGGGGGTCTGGGGATAAAGAAGGAAAGTATTCCTAGAAACGTTGTCGAGCTTCTCCAAATAGTACTTAAGGACGGATGGGTACGACATGTTTTATAAATTCAGTTCAGATATTAATTTAGCCGTTGACTTTGTTCATCTTTTCATGCGTATACCTGATTTTTTCAGAGAGAAATTTGTGCCGAACATTTCATTCAACTTGTTGTATAAATTTCGATCGACGTTCACAAACCCTCGCTTAGTAGTATCGGTTACTATATTCATCCTCGCTGCCATCAGCAGAATCTCTTGCTTTTCAATAGAAGAAAGTTTGCTTTGAGCATTCAAAGTTTTCCATCTACTTTGAAAAACTTCCAGTTGCGCTCTTGTAAGCACACCTTGCGTCTCTTGCCTCTGTTCCTTTTCTTCCTCATCATCGTATAATGCTTCTACTCTCCCTTTTGGTCTCGGTCTCGGTCTCGGTGCTGACTTCGCTCTCTCTTTCCTTGCTGGCTTTGGCTTTACTTCCTCTTTCTCTTCAGGTCTTTCCTCCACCGCCTTCTTTTCTTCAGCGGTTTCCTTCCGATACTTCTGAGCGAGCTTTAACAACTTCTTGATGTTCGTCTCCATGCTGTCGGCTTTAATAAAGTCTGCCCAAGGGCTCTCGATGGTTTCAAAAGGCTGAATGAAGGGCGTCTCTCTCGTGTAGGCGAACTTTCCGACTACACCTCCACCGACTTTAAAGAAAGGGTTGTGATCCTGACACTCGACGCAACACTCTTCCTTTGAGGGTATCATTAAGGTAAGTTGAGATATTTAAAGGATTCCTGAAAAAATGTAATTGAGGTACAAAGTCGGGTTTCCACTCACAGCGTTCGCATTTATGACTATACCATTACTACCACTTGGAATGCTGTAGTTATTGATACTCATGCCATTGTTATAAAAACTTTGCTGGACATAAGTCGCGGTCTGCCCTGAAAGGCGAGATATGTTGATGGTAAGCATACAACTCACAGGATTGATAACTGCCGACTTTATGAAAATCTTGAGTTCCCCCATACAAGTACTAGTACCACTACCCCAAATCTGCGAAGTGTCTAAATAGCCTTGTGTTGCTGTCGAGAAGGTGATGTACCCTCCTGGATTTGTGATGATTACTGGCGTGCTGCCAACCTGGTTATAACTTGGTATTGTGAAGGCGTCCGCCCCGATTGAGAATCCATTCGCAGAGTGAGAAGATGTTAATACCCCATTCACAGCAGTTCGCACCGAACCCGTGGCTGATGCGTTCAAAGTGGTAAGAGTTCCAGACGAGTTCTGTGTAAGAGCATAACCAGTGGTGCTGAAACAGTTCACATTTCCGAAACTGGCGTCTCCACTGAAAGCACTACCTACTTGAGCCAGTTGTATAATCGCTCCGTTTCTAAATTTCGAACTACCATCATCGTACAAAACGAGATTCGAAGCAGTTTGAGCAGAGTTTAACCACACCATTTGAGGCTTCTGAGTGCATAGAACACCCGTTCCGTGAGTTGAAGATAACCTTGAACATTAAGTTGATTATTTACATTAATCATTCCATTTACGTTCAGATTCCCGAGATTAGAACAGTTCCCGTTGGTATCAACGGAGAGCAGATTCGACCACGAAGTATAGTTCGAATTGAACGGCTTGCAGACATTGAACGCCGCCGCAGAATAACTACCACTGATGACGGCTCTCACTTGACCACCAGCCCACTGACCAAATCCGTACCGATCACTTCCACCATAATTTGCAACAGTCATCCATCCAGGGTCTGAAGCAGGAAATTGAAGTCCTCCAGTAGCACATGTTGCAACTCCGTTGACGCAATTGGAGGCGTTGATAGCGGCGTTCGATACGGTAGTGAAAGCGGGCGAGGTATTACTTAAAACCGCGGGTACACCTGTCAAGTAAGAGTATGCCAAGTTTCCTTGTAGCGTGGTACAGTTAACAGTTCCACCCACGTCTAACATAAACCCAGGTGAAGCGTTATTGATACCTACGTACCCAGTGGAATAGGGTATCGTAAGAGGTCTGAGACTGTTCGAAGCACCATTCGATGTTCCAGAGAATAACATGTAGTAAGAACTTCCGTCGTAGCGGTGTATCATGCTGTTGTTAGTTGAACCATACCAGTAGCGTGCATGACCAGCACCATCATACCCAAACAGACTGTTAGACCCTGCTATTGTGTTTCCAGCGATAACATTCGAAGTTTGAATGAGATTTCTGACATAAAGGTTTCCCGTATCAGCCGTAAGACTCATGAGGCAGCTCTCGTTATTGTTCTCCCAAATATACCCCTGCTGAGTGCCGCTTCCCGTCCGCATTAGGATATGGTGAGCAGTTCGTCCGTCAAGACTGATGCATGCCGTATTACTTGCTGCACTTTTACCAGCACCAGATTGGCACATATACATCGACCAGTTCCCATCATTTGCATCCCAAAATCTAAGTCCTTTCTGATAACCCGTATCGCTTTGAGTGTTGATGCTAGTTATACCATACGAAGTAAGAGTGCCGCTATTAGACATATTTCCAGCAGCATTAAGAACTCCCGCAATGTTAACATTTCCAGAATTTGATAAAGTTGTACTTGCTATTGTTCCAGAATTAGAGAGAGTCGCCGATGAGATGAAACCACCCACCTGCAGGTTGCCCGCATTGGACAGATTACCTAGGAAAGTCGTGTCTCCAGTCCTACAATTGAAGAGATGTCTTTCTGTAGAGTCTATCAAACACCTGAAACTCAGTCCATACCAACTCGCAAGCCCCCCTTGATTTGATGACCCCCCGCCGTTGCTGCTAAAGGTTGCACCATCAACCCCGTTAGCCCACACATGTACACCAAAGTTCGTGTCGCTGTTTAGACCGACGCAAAAGTTGCTGGTGTACATTCTGAGAGTATTCGATGGCGTCTGCAGACTGTAGACGGAAAGCGACGTATTAGACACACCTACGTAAGACGGGACTCCCGTTATATTGCTCCAGCCAAGACTCGAACTGTTGGAGAGGAGAGTTGGTACGCTAGTGAGTAGACTATATGCCACGTTGTTGGAAAGCAGAGCAGGAAGCCCCGATAGGTTCGAGTAGCCGAGCGAACTTGAGTTCGACAACAAGCTCGGGACGCTAGTGAGTAGACTATATGCCACGTTGTTGGAAAGCAGAGCAGGAAGCCCCGATAAATTCGAGTAGCCGAGCGAACTTGAGTTCGACAACAAGCTCGGTACGCTCGTGAGATAACCCCACCCTAGCGAACCCGCCAGAAGATTCGCAACGAGAGTCCCACCGACCTGCATATTTCCAGAATTACTATGAGTCGCAGATGTCAGCGTTCCCGATACGTTTGCTGTCCCGTTGATATCGAGAGTAGCGGACGGTGTAGTGGTACATACACCGAAGCGTCCGTTGCCCATACAATTGAATGATGCTGAACCAAGTTGTTGCCCCCACATACCGATTGCTCCGTAATTACTAGGACTTGCGTTCGAATAGAAGTTAAATGCATGCCAACTAGTATTGTAATTCGAAACCGTATTAACCCCTACGTTAAACAACATGTAGCTGTTGGAGTTGAGCGAAGGAGTGTAGAGTGATGACGAAATCCCACTAGTAATGATCATATTACTGGTGATACTGAGACCTCCCGTGATTGTGGTTGCACCAGCGGCGAGCGTCCCAGTGATGGTCGCGTTTCCTCCGACAGAGATGTTAGAGCCGAGAGTGAGGTTTGAGCGAATATTTACATGGTTATTCGACGTCTGAAGACCATTGAGCTGGAACAGACCGTTGCTCGTGGTGGTCAGGCTGTAGGTATTGAGGGTTAAATTTGAATTCTGATTAGAGTCCCTGTATACGATACACGAGTCTTTGATGACAGTACTCCACTGTCCGATTTCCATGTATGAAGCTTGGTCTTTCAGTTTGATGAAACCTTGAGTAAAATTCATGAGGGTAGTTAGTCCACTGTCTGCAGACTGAAGCAGACTCGAGACAGCACCAGCCCCGTTGAAAGCTTGAAATGCACCGAAGGCTATACCCGCTGCTCCAAGTACTGTACCGCCTACAGCGAGGGCGTTGGTCGTGGAATCGAAACTGGGTTTATTTGTTAGACTAGAGTAGTCGATCGCAGTGGCTGTTAAACGATAGTTGCTTAGACTATTGCTCGAGAATATTCCGATGTTGCTGGCGAAGACGCTTGTGTTCGATCCAAAGGTAGAGCGGTTTGTGTTGCTGTTGATTAGAGCAAACAACACGTTGCTTGTACTGTAATTGCTCGTGTTGTTCGAGCAAAATACCCCAAGATTGGAAGAGAATGTGGAGGTGTTCGAGGAAAAAACGGTTGAATTACTACAGTAGATTCCTAGATTCGATGCGTAGTAAAAGTTGCTTGTAGAGAAATTGCTGAGGGCGACTAGATTGTTGCTGGCATAGTAGAAGTTGCTTGTCGAGAAATTGCTAAGGGCGACCAGACTATTAGACGTTGCAACACTAGTGTTGCTTCCGAAAGTATCTCGAGAAACATTTGAGTTGATAAAAGCAAAAACAGTATTGCTCGTGCTGTAATTTGATAGACTATTACTGCCAAAAACAGACGTGTTGCTTCCAAAAGTTGCATTGCTGTAGATTGAATTTGAGAAGGACGTGATCGTAGCAGTAGAAGCAAGGGTATTAATCTGATTACTAGAATAAGTAGCTGTGTTGCTGTCGTACAATCTTAGGGGATAGAAAGTGTTAGACGTGACAAAGGTCGGAATCAGATTGGAACAAAAGTTTCCTGTCGTCTGAGCGGCAGTCGCTGCGTTGGACGCGAAGACGCTCTGGTTCGAAGTGTAAACGTATCTCGGGTAAATGTCGTTGGAAAAACCTTGAATTGTAGTAAAAGATGAGTTGCTTAATGTGCTTATTGCACTGCTGTTGCTTGAAACAGAAGAAGCAAGAGTCTGCAACTGATTCGAAAGCGAAGAAAGTTGTACATTTGAAAGAGTTCCCACGGTTGCAGACGATACAACAACCGACGGGGCGGTTAATACTCCAGCAACCGTAACATCCTGTAGAAATTCGGCAGCGTTACTGATGGAGAAAGCTGGATCTATCTGAACACTGCTAACAATATTAGAACCGTTTGAGGATGTAGCAGAAAACACGAAATAACCGCCTGTTGGGTTAATCTCTGCTGTCAGCGGGTACGAAAATTGTATAGCATCGTTGACATATAATCTCAGGGTCGTAAGGGTTTGTCTTAGGGCGATTAAGTTATTGCTCGCAAGAGGTAACGGGTATGTATTCGAAGATAGAAGGGTGTTCGAACCTGAATAGAGCGATATGTTGGAAGCAAACTGATTCAGTTTGACAGAATACTGGACGTTCAACGAATCTCCCCAGGTTAACGATGTAGTATTGACCTGTCCAGTCTGGTTAAGATAGTATCTGCAAAGAAACGAATTCGCTGGAGCGACTGAGACTGTAGCGACTCCAGTCTGACTTGCACCGCTGGTCAAGTAGACTTGATTGTTTGACAGAATTGCAGCATTCGAAAGAGTCAGACTCATTATAATAATGAGGATACAAAAATGAGAATCAGGTTTCGTGGCGGGCGACGT